AATTATTTTATTTAAATGAATTGTTTTTTTAAAAGTGTTTATTTGAATTAATTAATTGTATTTTGATTTTCGGTAGTTACATTAATTAATTATTGTTTTTTTTATTACGTTTATTACTTACAGTCTTTTGAACGTCACGTATGTGGAGCCGTAGGTTATAATTTAGGTGTTGTGGATGATAACTTGGGTTTTGTTCTATTGGCCAACTAGGATTTAGATTAGGGCTCTGTCTTTAATCCTACAGGGAGTATGGTTATAATTAAGTCTATATATATATATAATAGTATGTCACCTTAGGGTATTAGCAAACACAGACCCTATTTACGTTCAGAGTTGTTGAGAGAAAATAGAGAGGAATAGTGAGAGGTTGTGAGAAACAAACAGAGCAACTTTGGTGTAAGGTTTGGCCATGGCTTGAAGGACGGACGTAGGAGAGGGGAAGATGGAGCTATAAGAGATTGAACAGTGAATTGGATCGTCGAAAAAAAAAAAAAAAAAACTTAAAAAGATGGTAACAAAGTTTTGAATCCAAAACTATAAAGGCAAGTTCTATTATCTCTCTATCCTTTTGTCCTGTGTTCTGTGCATACCTAGATGTCTCTAGGATTTTGATTAAATATTAATCGAATCTGGTATGCATATTATATGTCCAATTGATTATCCGTATGTGTTTATGGTTGTCTGAAACAAATTCTTGTTTGACTGGTGTTTGTCGTCTGTTTTAAGCTTACAGATTTGTATTGTTTTGATGGGTTATTTAATTCATACTGTTATAAACAAGGGTTTAGGATGTTATTGAATATATATAAGATGGTTAAGATCAATTTTGATTATCTGTATATGTTTTAGTATTGTCTGTAATTATGCCTGCAAATTTGAGTTCAAATTTTGTGTTAACGTGTAATGAATCGGTAGGGGTTTTAAGTCATTGTAATAAATTCCAACTGTTAAACCAAACCATTGGGATGCTACTGGATATTTATCAGACTGCTAAGATCATTTTTAAGGAAGAATAGAGGGGTAGGAAGAGGCTGCAAGTGAAGCAGATAAAGCAGAACGAAGTAGAACGCAAATGAGAATGCTCAAAGGAGGAAAGAGAAGGCTCCAGAAGGTGGGAGCCTGCTCCCCCTTCATAGAGCCATCTCTAAGGGGTTAGGGAGCCGGCTCTAAGGTAAAAGAGCCTGCTCTGTGTTTTTAGAGCAGGCTCCTTTGGTTAGGTCTTGTTTGGGTGCGTTCCGGAGTTTGTCTTGGCACTTTTGGGCCATATTTGGGATTTTAAAGGGTTTCAGGAACTGGAATGAAAATTCTAAAAGTAATTTCAAGGGATGTTAAACCCTCTAAGTGTATAATTTGGTCCATAAGGCAAATGGAATAAACAGTGAAAAATAAGCAACTTTGTACGCTGCTAACGGATAGGAAGGACTAAGTTGCTAAATTTTGTTTTAAAAATTTAACGGATTGTAGCATGGACTTTAAACATGATATTAGGCTATGTTGGAGCCACATTAATTAACTTAATATCTTTGTGCTCAGGGATTTAACCGTAGGGAAGTTTAACCATTTTTGCAGGCTGTTAACGAACAAGCAGTATTAAATTAGTCAGTTTTATTTTCCAAATATAATGGACTATAGAATGATTTTTAAATCATGTTCTGGATGCATAATAGAGTCATGTAATTATCAGACTTGTTGTATGCTTACTTTGGATTATAATTGCTGAACTAATACTTACGTTCTGTCAATTACCTGGATAGATGCTGGATTTTAACTTAATGAATTATTAAATTTGTCCCGTTAGTTACATGAATGGATTCTGGATTTTTAGTTGATGAACTGTTTAAATTATGTGTTTATCAACTAGATGGATTATGTGGACTTTATTTGATGTACTGCTCATAATGTTGCATCATTTACGAATCATTTGCATGGTATGCACCGGTATGGGACGGTGGCATACGGAGGGACGGATTAGATCCAAACGTTAATCCTTACCCATTCATACATATGGAATAGATTAACTAAAATAGTTAAATCCTACATGGTTTCATGTCCTGTCAACTAAAACAGTTAAACGACATATTGGATGGTTGTTTATATTTTCTGTTAATAGGAAGGATAGGGATTTAATTAAAATATTTAAATCCTAATTTTATGTCGTGTCATGGCAACGAACAGTTGAGCGGCACTACATTAGTTTGGATGGGAATTTATATATATAAATTATGGTACCGCGATCTGAGCTTGAGTCTCATAGTCGACGGTTAGGGAACGTATATGCAGCAGGATGCATAGCTAGCTATGTTGGTTGAGGTATACCCTGTTAGGCTTAGGTAGTCATGTCCACTCAGGTGCATTTTGCATGTTACCTTCTATTCAGGTTGAGACCCTCGGCATAGTCTAGTGAGAGTCCTGTAGTGTGGATATATGTATATCTATTTACGGACTATATAGATATGGTTGAGACATCTAGGATGTATCTGCGTATCGGGTCTCTGTTTGGATTGTAGTTAGGATAGAACTTGTTCGTGGGCCTGACCCACTCTTATTTTTCATGTAACGGACAGTTCCAGGTCTTAGACCTTGTTCATGCTGAGCAAAGATGGCTTCTCATTCTTCCGACGACGTAGGAGTTTCTTCAAGATTTAGCATTGGAGTTCTTCAGTTGTTGATTTCGGTATTGAAGTTTATTAGGGGTCCACCAGATGGATTCCCGAGTTGTATTAGAAATGGAGAATTTGGATGTATCGAAATAATACTTTATTTATAAAATTTTATTCTGAGGTTTTCAGTTTTGGATTATCATTCTAGTTTCTTTCAGCAGTTTTATTTATTCTTGATTATCTTATCTGTATTCTGTGTTCGTTTATTACTAATTTATTTGATATCCTCGGGTAATCGGGCGTAGGCCTGGCCAACCCGCATCCGAAAATCCGGGGGTATCACACCTACCCTCTTTCTCCTGCTAAAATTGATTGAAAATTAGAAAATTTGTGACATACTTTGACATAATAAGATACAACAAATTTCTCACTCTCATTTTTTCTCCAGCTAAAGTTGATTTAAAATTAGAAATTTTGTGACATATTTATGTGGTGAAATCAAATAGGTTTGCTCTTAATTAAAGTAAATAAATAAAATATAAAGAATGAGAACAAGATTTATTTGAGGATTGTTAAATAACATGGTTATTAATTCTTTAAATTTTTAAAATTGTGCCACTCAATTTTTTTTTTCTTGCATTGTGCCCCTATGAACATAATTTCTAACTTAATTTTATAGTTGTAACAAATTTTGCATTTTGTTCGTCAGCTAAAGTTGATTAGATGAATTTGTGACACATTTTTGTCTTGATTTAATAATTTTGTTTAATATAACTAATTAACATAAACAATCTCTTGTTTATAGAGTTACAAACTTGAGGCCTATTAGTTTTATACGAATAGAGTTCTATAGAAAATGATGATAAACAACTCCTGTGTGTTGTAGAGATACAATTGTGGAGATGCAGCGATTGGTTAACGCTTGATAGTATCTTAATTAATCTGATATTGAGTGTTTATAGGGATTCTTTGTGTTGCCAAATAAGTTCTCATATGGGATCTGGTATCATGTTATTAGCCATTAGGAATGAAGACGATATAACAATTTATCATAACTATATTGTAACTTAGAGTATTCCTTCGTATTATAATTTAGTTATCATCACTTTCTTTTAGATAATATATATATATATATATATATATATATATATATATATATATACATAAATGTAAATGACCCATGTTGTAGGACATATGAAACCATCATGGGTTTTTACTTCCCAATCTGATCATAGGTTTAATCATATTGTACATGAGTAACAAATAATTTTGCAACCTCGTGAGGGATAGTATTAAGACTGACCTCCTAATGTGGTTATTAATAATATGACTGAATTGTTTTTTAATTTTTAATTCTTATATAATGTAGTACCATTGAATTATCAGTTTAAAATTAGTATTATCTAAACAATTTACTAAACTGTTCAATTTACTTAATAATAATCAGATGGACATGAATAATGATAATGTTGACCAATAGCCATCAAGAGACATTCATTCTCTTGATGGTAAGAGTGGTGAGGACGTTGTAGTTATTGAACAGGCCGATGCCACTGTTTGGTGTGATGCCCATCAAGAGAAATTCATGCTCTTAATGGAGGAAGAAGTTGGAAAAGGAAATCGTACAGGCATGACTTTTAATCCAATTAAGTGGACACATATTGTGGACGCAATGTTGGTAAAAATTCAAAAGAAGTACACGAAGGACCAATGTAGACAAAAATTCAACACAATAAGAGCACTGTACAAAGATTGCAAACAAATATTATCTGAGACTGGTGTAGAATACAACACTGGTATGATTGAGTTGGAAGCTGAAAGATGGGTTCGATTGTGCAAAGTTAGTATTTTAATACATGTCTACTTACCATACATAAAGTTAGTAATTAGTGATTTAGTATTAAAAGGGTTTGATGAACAATAATTGTAAGCTAATAACGTGTAGGTTCTCAAGTATGGCAGAAAATAAAAAAACAATGGTGAAAGAATTATGAACAGATGGTAAAGATTTTTGGGGATACACATGCTACTGGTCAGCATGTTCATCCTTCTACAAAAGCACCCAAACCTCACCAAGTGCTAACAATGTCTCAAGTGGCAACACATGAAGTTACAATTCATAATATTGAGGGTAATGCGAACATGACTGATGTAGAACGACCTAATGTAGGAGGACCTATTGACCTCAGTCCTACTCCCAAACCTGTAGCTAAGAAACCTAAGAAAGAAAGTTTTTCCTCCACAATGTCTCACGTGATGGCATGTTTGACTGATATTGGGAACGCGAAAGCTGATAAAATTGCCAAAGCCATAGCAGAATCATCTTCTAGTTGTCAACCATCTCGTGTTAAAGAAATGCCTGAAGTGACATCTCCCAATAAAAAAGGAAAAGAAAAATAAATGGATCCCCAACTTGAGGAGTACCTTAGGATCATCAACACATTAGTGGGGATTGATGATACCCATTATGCTAACATCATAAAGATGTTTGGTGAGGACAAGGTGTGGAGGGACATATTTATTCACATTCTTGATGAGAGGAAGGTTGGGTGGGTGATGAATTAGCATCTGTGATATATTCGCTATCTTACTTTTATGTGTTTTTGGATGACTGTTTTATGACTCTTTTTACATTACTGTTAGATGACTGTATTAGTTTTCTTTATCTACTGATTTTACATTACTGTTGGAAGACTGTATTTAATTCCTTTATCTACTGCTTTTAAATTAATGCTTGATAACTATTTATGTTCTATATCTATTACTTTTACATTATTGCTGGATAATTATATGATTTGATATGTCTTTTATCATTTTTTATAATTATTGGTGAATAACTGTATTATTTGTTATACATTTTTCTATTTTCCTTATATCATGAAGTTGTTTAATTTTTATTACAATAATTGCTTCTGTTTATTCTTAAATAGGATAGTAGATATGGATATAAGGACAATATTAACCATGTATAATGATGATGTTGATGAGAAAATTCTTGCATTGATCGCAACCGTATATGAGTACTATTATAAACTTTTTGATAAGCAACGTTGTAGGGATTTCATGTTACAAGGGGAAGATTATGTATTCGAGATTTTAAATGGACATGAAGATAGGTGTTATGAAAATTTTCTGATGTACCCCAATACCTTTAGGGCTTTGTGTCGTGAGTTGAAATTGTTAGGATTGAAAGATTCAATATTTGTAACAGTAGAAGAACAAGTTGCAATTTTCCTACTTACCGTGTCTCACAATGAAAGGAATCGTGTCGTTGCTGAAAGATTCCAATACTCTACATCTACAATTTCATATCACTTTCATGCTATCTTAAAGTTAATTTGTGAGTTAGGAACTAAGATTATTGTTCCCCCGGATTTAAATGAAATTCCTAAACAGATAAAAAACAATCCAAAGTTTTATCTATATTTTAAGAATTGTGTAGGAGCTATAGATGGTACCCATATCCATGTTGTAGTGCCAGTCAACCAACAAATACCCTTTCATACCCAAAATGTCATTGCCGTGTGTTCTTTTGATATGAAATTCACATACATTCTAGCAGGGTGGGAAAGGTCTGCTAATGATTCGAAGATTTTAAATGAGTGCATTCAGAATGAGGATTTGAATTTTCCATCACCACCCAAAGGTAAGAAAATTACCTTTCCATATTTATATTTAACATTAAAAATACGTTAATTTTAATACTTAACATGGCAGGTAAGTTTTATTTAGTGGACTCTCGGTACGCCAATCAACCGGGGTTTTTGGCCACTTTCCGAGGTCAACATTACCACATGCAGGAATATCGTAGACATGCTAAAGGACCGCGTGGTAGAGAAAAGGTGTACAATTTTAGGCATTCATCATTGAGAAATATCATAGAGCGATGTTTTGGGTTGGTAAAGATAAGATTCGCTATATTGAAGCAAATGCCCCCTTATCACTTTGACACTCAAGTTCTTATTGTCATTGCTTGTTGTACATTATATAATTTCATAAGATCCCAAGGTGAATCTGATGAAATTTTTTATGGTGAAACCCCTGAATCTTCTACTTCACAAAATGAACCTGATGTGGATGACATTGTTGAGGTCATCAGTGCTACTAATACACAGATGCGACAGATGGATATTTATCGTGATCGTTTTGCCAACCTAATTTAGGAGCACTGTAATCATTAATTATAATAATGTGTAATAGTGTGTCGGATTTTAATATGGATAACTGTAATAACTAATTATATTACGTAAATTAAACTCACATATATACAATATGGATAACTGTAATTGATAGGGACAAAAAAACCTAACCTACTTTGACTAGCCGCCAAACCTCTTCGGTGATCAATGATAATATTTTATTATTAGAGGTAACGATTTCCATGGATAAAAATGATGACAAATCTTATCAAGGATAAGATCTCCATAGGATAAGTTCCATGGGATAAGGATGATGAAGTTCACTTATCAAGAATAAGGGAAGTAACGATAAATAGGACGACGACTCGGGAATAAGGTACAACGAAAAAACTATTATTAAATCCCTGCCTTCCTTTTTAAACCTCTGGTGACTAACTTGATCGTCGGAGAGCTCTTGGCAGGCACCACACCGGTGCTGTCAAGGTTCATCGATTTTCTCCTCTTTCCCTTGCAGGTAAACGGTGTCATATCGGACCGTGCGGATTTCACCCTCAACAGTTGGTGCCGTCTATGGGAACAACGATTCCCTTGAATCAATTAATTACTCGGTTGGGTATATACGTTTGTGGTCCGGTATAGTTACCGAAAGAACACCGTCTAGGGATATGGTCAAAGGGTAGAGTCGGGTGAAAACCTAAACGTCCCAAACAACCAGACACAGCTTACAGCATTGGAACTGCAGGTCCAAACTCTGAGTCAGAGAATGGACCAGTTGATCCAACAAAATGCAATGCTCCTGCAACATCTTGTTCCATCGGTTCAACAAAACTTGCCACGACAAGATCTCTCAAATCCAAACGGAGGGAATGGGAATCTTGCAAAACAGGACAATCATCCCTCCCAAAATGAGACCGAAGTGGAACAAAGCCAGGTGAGAAACCGACATAGAGAGGTGGTACACCCATCTCTCCCACGGAATTCCTAACCTCAGGAAGGCACAGCTTTTTGTCTTAAGGAAAAGATAAAGAAAGTTACCTATTTCGACCTGCAAGTCAAGAATCTCAAGGGGAAAATGGAGGGTGTAATGTAGGCTATGAAAGGGAAAGGTCCTGTAGCCGTAAATGACCTGGTACAAAGGACCCACTTGCCGTTCAGCTTTGCCGTTATGAAATGTCCACTGCCTAGCAAGTTCAGGATGCCCTTATTCGAAAGCTTCGATGGGACCAAAGATCCCCTCGATCACCTGGAAATCTTTCAAGCTTTTATGCATTTATACGCCGTACCAGACGAAATTTTGTGCCGAGCTTTTCCCACTACACTTAAGGGATCAGCAAGAGTTTGGTTCAACAAGCTGAAGCCGGGAACTATCAACACCTTCGAAGAACTGAGTAAGCAATTTGTGAGCCACTTCATTGCAGGTCAGAGGCATAGGAGGCCAGCCACCTACCTGCTTATCATGAAGCAGCAGGAGGGTGAGTCGATCCGGGAATACATCACCCAATTCAACATAGAGATGTTGCAGGCAGAAGAGGTGGACGACAAGGTGGCCTTGACCGCTTTCATAAGAGGACTCCAAACCTCCAGATTCTTGTTTGCCCTATCCAAAGAACCTCCCACCAGCATGGTAGAGTTGTTGATCAGAGCGCAGAAACACATGAACACTGAAGACGTTATGAATGCACGGAAGGGAAAGGAATGAGAGGACAAGAAGAGGTCTGCCCCTCTCACCAGGGATGAGAATGATACCAGTTATAAAAGATCATTCTTCAGCCAAAACGATATGACATATAGTGAGGAGGACTCAAATAAGTATACCGATTAACAATTACCTCACAGCTAGAATTAGCCTTATCAAGTCATTCAAAATAAAGACTGGGGGCATCTCAGTTCATCATTTCACATGTTATTTTATTTTATTTTTCAATAAAGTCACTATCACCAATGAGGTGGATGACCCTCAATTTCTACGCAATAAAATATTATATTTTCAGTTCCCTACTACCTATGTGGTAATATTAAGCCAATAATAATCTATTTATCTCCAACTACACATTCTTCCCTTATTAAAGGGACAAGAAGCCGACTACTCCTTATATACAAAAGGGTGAGATAATTAAAACTTCCTTCATTTACTAGAGGAACGTGACGACTACTTCCCGTATTACAATGGATAGTAAATAAAGTCCTGTATTAAAAGGATCCGGGCTGAATGAATCCCGTAATCCATATCCCCGTACTATAAGGGATAGTAAATGAGTATCCTGTATTACCAGGACCCGGGCTGAATGAATCCTGTAATCCATATCCCTGTACTATAAGGGATGGTAAATAAGTGTCATGTATTACCAGGACCCTGGCTGAATGAATCCCATAATCAATATCCCCGTACTATAAGGGATAGTAAATAAAGTCATGTATTAAAAGGATCCGGGCTGAATGAATCCCGTAATCCATATCCCCGTACTATAAAGGATAGTAAATGAGTATCATGTATTACCAGGACCCCGGCTGAATGAATCCCGTAATTTATATCCCGGTACTATAAGGGATAATAAATAAAAATCCCTTCTTAAAGGGATGAGTAAAACTCGTAAAGTTTAATTCCCTTATTAAAGGAGTGATGACCTGAGTGAAGCTCGTACAATTCAGGAGAAGATTACTCAGGAGTATTAAAAATAGTACCCTGGGACAGAGTACCCAAGTGTACCAAAAATAGTAACTAGTGGCAGAGTACCCAAAGGTACCAAAAATAGTACCCAGGGGCAAAATACCCAAAGGAAGGGTACCCGTGGCATTGTTCCCGGGAATAATGCCGGGGGCAAAAAAAAAAAAAAAAATTATGCACTATTCATGTGAATAGTACCTGCGGGTACTATTCCAGGGCAAGAGAAAAAAAAAGTAAAAAAATTTATGTATTGTTCATGTGAATAGTACCCGCGGGTACTGTTCCAGGGCAAAAGAAAAAAAAAAAAAAAAAGGAGTGTTTCCTGTACTATTCATGTGAAGAGTACCCGCGGGAATAGTACCAGCGAGTACTATTCCAAGGTTAAAAAAAAATAATAATAAATTATTATTATTATTACATTCCCAAAGCTAGACGAGCAAGCTTGGGAATGGGGGGCAACTGATAGGGAAAAATAAACCTAACCTACTTTGACCAGCCCCCAGACCTCTTCGGTGATCAATGATAATATTTTATTATTAAAGGTAACGATTTCCATGGATAAAAATGATGACAAATCTTATCAAGGATAAGATCTCCATGGGATAAGTTCCATGGGATAAGGATAATGAAGTTCCCTTATCAAGAATAAGGGAAGCAACGATAAATAGGACGACGACTCGGGAATAAGGTATGAAGAAAAAACTATTATTAAATCCCTGCCTTCCTTTTTAGACCTCTGGTGACTAAGTTAATCGTCGGAGAGCTCTTGGCAGGTACCACACCAGTGCTATCAAGGTTCATCGATTTTCTCCTCTTTCCCTTGCAGGTAAACGGTGACGTATCAGACCGTGCGGATTTCACCCTCAACAGTAATAAATAATTATATCAGGACATCAAATATTAAATGTTTTAGTACTTGTAGGCACACTTATGTATAGGCTTGAAGGTAAGCAACCACAATGTGCATGTGGTAGAGGTCCTATGCATTTGTATAGGGCTCGAACTCCAAAAAATGATGATCGACAATTCTATAGGTGTCTAGCTCGAGAGGTATAGCTTTAATCTTTTAGGTGTTATTTCTGTTATTGTTTCCTAATTGTATAATTTATATTTCTTGTAGTCACATATGAATGCATTTATGTGGGTGGATAAGTTACACCAAGGTGCACAAGTTGAAGAACAGGTTCCAGCTGACTTGGACAGAGTCATTGCAATGATTCAAAATGAACAATGTAGATAGAAATACATACTCTTCCTAGGTTGTGGATGTCTTACTATCACAGTCATGTTTATTGTGATTATTTTCTTCTTGCTCATTATCATTGTTATTGAAAGATGAAGTTAGATAAACTTCCATCTTTTGTAATATATGACATGTAATAGGTATTTAGTTAATTTCCTGTGTTTCATTTGGTATGTAATAAATACTTAATTTTCTGTATTTGGATGACCTTGCTACTGAGAACTATAAATGCTATATTTTCAACTGCGTATTACTTGCTGTTGTTTTCTCTAATGTTGTTCATGTGTTTGATTTTGCACGAGGTCATTTACATTATAAATTTGCAACTTAACCTAAAAAAAGGTTAGATATATCTTGCTTACTACTTATAATTACTTCGTTCCTACCATGTGTTATTTTATTTTTCTCTAATGTTGTTCATGTGTTTGATTTTGCATGAGGTCATTTACACTCTAAATTTGCAACTTAGCCTAAAAAAAGGTTAAATATATCTTGCTTACTACTTGTAATTACTTCATTCCTACCATGTGTTATTTTGTTTTTCTCTAATGTTATTCATGTGTTTGGTTTTGCATAAGGTCATTTACACTCTAAATTTGCAACTTAGCCTGAAAAAAGGTTAGATATATCTTGCTTACTACTTCTAATTACTTCATTCCTACCATGTGTTATTTTGTTTTTCTCTAATGTTGTTCATGTGTTTGGTTTTGCATGAAGTTATTTATACTCCAAATTTACAACTTAGCCTGGAAAAAGGTTAGATATATCTTATTTACTACTTCTAATTACTTCATTCCTGCCATGTGTTATTTTATTTTTCTCTAATGTTGTTCATGTGTTTGGTTTTACATGAGGTCATTTATACTTCAAATTTTCAACTTAGCCTGAAAAAATGTTAGATATATCTTGTGGTTGTTGGAGTAATTTAGAAGGAGAACGGGTAATTTTACTTGGATTTGTGAATTAATTTTGTAGGCAGTGTCCCTTGTTGAATTGATTGAATGAAGATGATTTGAAAAGTTGAAATTGATTTTTGGTTGTTGAATGATAAATATATATGTGTTTCTTGTGTTTTGAAAATTTGAAAATGTCCATTTTTAAGGGGAAACCATGCCG